GTAGAGGTACAGAAGAGGCAAAGGAACTAGGGGACAGGCTCAACACACTATGACAATATTAAAAATTAAACTTGAATTACATGTTTTATACTTCTCTACTATCACTCTAGATTGTAAAATGCCAAGAGCCACACTTACATAGCAAAACCAGCTGAATTGAAGTAATGGTGTAAAATTAGCCAAAGCAGAGAGAGGCATGATTGTCCTATATTGCTTTTCTCTCTTTGATGCCTGCTAGCTGATGCCTGCAAGCAGTTGGTACTAATTGCTGTAAGGGGCCTCAGATAATAATGCGCCCAAGGACATAATTTTTGCAAGTGTGATGGCTGCATCCCGAGGAGGGCAGAGAAACTAACAGACACTTGCGGCAAAGATAAGAAAGCAGAGAAATTTTACAGACAGAGCAATGAGCCAAGACGACGGCCTATATGGAAAAAAAAACAAAACCAAAACCCATGAGTTCATGAAAGAACATTAAGAGACACCTCTTCAACAACCACTAGGAACCACCACGGACCACCGCACCCTCCTCCCCCCAGCTCCTCAGAGACCCTTCCTCAAATTTTAGTACACTTGCACAATGTATTAACATATGCACCTCTGAAAATACGTGTGGTACTTCTCAGAAATTACATGAATAGTAATTTATTTTATTGTATATAATAAGTGTGCTTTTGTCTTTTGGCATGCATGTTAGGTGGAATGATCCCCCATGAATCCAGCGCTGCAATAAGGAATGCCTGCCTTCTAAAACTTCAGATTAAGTCTGAGGTGGTTCTTTTGAGATCGAATTTACAGTAACACCTTGAAGAAATCAATAAGTTCAGACATTTTACTGCCCAAAGCTATTTTCAACTTTGCAATTTTTAAACCAAACATGACAGCATTTCTGAAATTTCCAATCCTTTGCACGCATTGTTTAGTCATCAAAGTCTCCGTTCCTGCTTGCACTCCAATTTTTTTGAGGCAGTTAACCACCACTATGGGTGGAGCTACACTTAAGCAGGCTAGCTCTGGAAAGTTTAAAGCAGCAGTGAAAATACTGGCAATGTTCTTTATATGCTGCCAACACACTCCTTCCATCTACTAGTCTGAATATTGCCCTGTGCAGTTAAAAAAACTTGCTACAGGTATAAAAAGTTGCTTCTATCATCTGTGGTAAACTTTTCAATGCTGGTCTACTGCAAACAAATATTAAATTTCAACTTTTATTTATCTTATTTCATCACATAGTGAAATCTAGGGAATAAAACTATGGAAATTTAAGAGAACATGACAAACTTTAATCCAGATTGTCTGATTTACTGTGAAACTGCCAGATAACATTTACTTGGAAGACTACTGCTTAATTTTGCCTGCATTAAGAGCTTCGAGTGGGTCCTTGATGGTGACTGGCATGGAAGCCTTGGATTTTTGGGAAGATTTTCTATTGTTATAGAAGAAACTCCCCTATGTATAAAACCACTAAAGACTTACACAAAACAAAGCTGAAGGTGAACATGAACAAAGGGGAAGGATAAGGGAAACAGCTGTGCCTGCCTGAAACTGGAACAAGCATTAATTAGGGAGTTGCCCCCCCAACCCTCCAGCGTTGGCTTTGAGCCTTGACCGAGGCCAGCACCGCAGTGATGTGAAAGCAGGCAACGCAGCTGCACCATTTCACACCGTCGGTCAGGCACACCCCATCTGCTAGCTCTAACCCAGCAACTACAGCCTCCAGCACTTCTCCACTGAAATCCACACCGGCTGCACGGCACACATTAAAAATGAATACAGAGAACTGTGTAAATGGAAGAAAATAAATTACAGAATCATACAACATCTGACAGGCTGAGCTGTAAAACTGTCCTGGTTTCATGTATGAACAGACCAAAATCTGAACTTGAACATCTTTCTTCTGTTTTTTTTTCCCCACTATATTTTTTTTTCAGGCAAGCACAAAGATGAACAGCATCTACTGTGAGCAAGGCAACTCAGAACTAAAATCCTAATAAAACAGATTTGGAACATGCTTAACGGGTCACTCACCCAATAGCCTATTTGCCATTTTAAACAACTATAAGGAGGACAGGAGGTGATCTCCCTTGCAGAACAGAGACATCTATCCCACTCCCTCATGAATATCTTTTCTGCTGAACAGAAGCCTGACTCAGTAAAATAAATCAGTCACTGACAATGCAGAAATGATGCACTGATGTACTTCACAACATAAGAAAGTAAATAAACTGAGGAAAAGTAATCTGCTTCTCTTTCAGTACCCTTCTGAGACATTTCAGGCCTGGACCCATTGTTGAAACACCTGTGTAAACATCAAACTAACAGCGTGCACAATATATTCCATTCACCGTTCCTCACATATTCCAGAAGCCACAGCTTTTACAGCAAAAGTCATCTGAGGGTGTTTGCAGCTGATGAAAAATGCTGAAAACTGTCCTCTGCACAGCTCTAGGAACTCACTAGTGTTAGTTCATATAGCAGGCTCTTCAGTTGTCTTTTCAAGAGGGACAGACAAAACGGAATGAGAGGAATAAATAAACCACCCCAGCTAGATCTCTTTACGCTTTGCATCATTATGCTTTACAAGCCTGGGGGACAGCAGTCAGCAGCACCCTTGACTGCAGTATAGGATCTGGAGGAGCAAAAATGAAAGCAGGAATCACTCCAGTAATTCAGCTTTATCTTCTTGCAGCCTAGCTCTGCATTAGGATAGAGATCCTATGGTAGATACGGAGAGTGGCACAGTAGCATCAAAAAAATAAACCCACATGGTGGAAAAAGGGTAATCACCAAACAGGATTCTTGCTCTTTTTCACAGTCAGGCAGCCCGTGCTTGACTCCAGGCTGAAAGCCATCTCAGAAGATAGCACAGGTGTCCCAGTGTGTTGCTGTCAGACTGATCCCATAACACTACAAAGGCCAGCAAGGGCAATACTGCCCACATCCACACCACTCCTAAAAAAGGGGAAACTGAACATGTGCACTACTGCACTGCCCTCCCAAGTCTCCTCTGCAGTCACACTGCTGGCTGTGCAGGCTTGCAAGCAGAGCTACACATGCAGGAAACTGCTATGTACCAGCTCTGTACTTCGGAAGGAAGGGAAGGGGAGGGGATCAAGTGCACCTGTGTTGTCAGAAGGCTTCTTCATGAACTGAATCTGTCCAAAAGCTGCCACTGAAAGACAATGGCATGCAACACACCACATATGTTTTAAATTAGATTTTCACCCAAGATTATAATTTTCCCTTAAAAATGTTTCAGCATTAAAAAGGCAGCTAAAGGGAAAGCATTAACTGAGCATGAATTGGAAAAAAACGGAATTAGCATTATATCCAAGTGCATGCTATTCATAATTTTTTTTGTTTAAGTGAAATCTGTAGCCAAGGACAATGGCATATACACCTATTACTAAAAAAACCCAAAACCCAACCAAACCAAAACACCCCACAGTACTAACATCCAGCGGGTAACTATTCACATTAATATACATTTAAAACCACCTTCCAACATGAAAAAGGGGTAGATACCCTACAAAAAATTTTTAAAAATTAATTTTCCAGATTTGGAGGGAAAAAATTGCAAGAGAAAACCGCACTATTGATATTTGATTTGCTACTGTCTTGCCTCCACAGTTCTAAAAGCTTTTATTCATTATTGTTGCATAATGGCAGATTTAAAATAGGATCCCAAATCAGTCTTAAAACAAATTTTAAAATTTAAATAGGATTTTAGAAAGTAATTATGTATGTTTAGGAGTGACCTAAGTCAGACGTGAAATATTACATAAACTTAATTCCTAAACAACTATTTTAAAGTTTTGATGCTTTGTTGGCTGTTCTTTTCACTTTCAGATTTTAATGAAAAAATAACTTTAATTTTTTCTCTAAAGATTGCCTCATGAAAAATCAAACCTAAGTCTCTCCAGAGCTCTTGGCCTATAGTCTCCCAAATTAGTACTCACTGGAAACAGCATTTAGAAAACTGCTCAGTTGTAAGCATCACAACTGTAAGATATTTCAAGAGAGTCTAAAATTAAGTCAATCTCCCAAATCTCTGAAAAGACACGAGAAGAACCTATTTTGTATTGCCTGGGAGCTAACTACACAGAACATGTTTTTTGAAGTTGCTGACTGTATTTAAACAGAGTATGTAAAAGGCAAGCACTGTGTTTCGACAGTATAGCTGGGAAGGACTTCCATTTTATGAATGTATTAGGCCACACAGAAGGTTTTATTTAGTACATTTCTGAAGTCTTTTCAAACATACTCCACAGTGGTCTTACCTAACAGGAAATCCATTTTGGTCTAGTAACAACATAATGTCCATGAAAGATACCAGATATTCCTAGAAATGAAACAGCTAAGGAGGTTTTCCTTTTAAAAAATGAAGTAATTTTAAGTCTTTTACACCCAAGGGGCGCTACAGTGTCTTCCTTTCCACCTTCTCATCAGCTATGTCGTTTTGGAGTAAACACCACTCTAATGCATCTCTGTCTCCAGCCCGCTATATGACCTAATGATTCACACCAAACATATGCTGACACTGCATCAATGCCTTCCTGGGAGTGTCAACTGAAAATATCAGTGAGTTTTAGCAAAGGCTGTTACAACTGCGATTCTTCCCCCTGATACTAGCAGCAGGTAAGACACAGTGTATCCAGCTTCTCACTGAAGATGACAAAGCTGGGAACGGAAAGCCAAAACATAATGCCCTACAGTATCTCGTTTTCCAGTGTGGCAATTACCCAGCATCTTCCATCTGTAATTTGGCACGCAGGACTTGCCAAATGGAAGAAACCTCGTTCTTTCTTTAGCACCTTGCACCTATACACGCTAAGTGAAAGGGGTGGGCTGGAAAAACATCACTTTGGAGCGTGGTTCTGAAATGCCACCGTGACAGACTGCGCACCAGAGAAGGGCTGTGATTTTGCGGCTGTGCTCTCTCTCCCGCGGGTAACACATGCACCCGTCATGGAAAGAGGGGCTAAAGTGCTGACACTCACGAGACGTAGGCGGGGTAGCCGAAGCCGATGGTGTTGCAGAGCAGGGACGCACCGTAGCCCACCACCAGGTAGACGGCCACCACCCCGACGATGGCTGTGCGGGGAGAGAGCGGAGAGCCGTTAGCGCGGACGCCCCTGCACCCCGGGGCGCTG